GTGAAATAAAAGCTGTGTTTTGTGATGCTTTTTTTCTTAAACTTGTCACCTCTGGCTGCAGGGGACTTCCTCGGTCTGCATGCCACCCACTGAGAGCTGAGTTCCCAGCTTTGGTGAAGGGGCAGTTGAGAACTGTGGGGGGGCAAACCAGATTCTGGGCTCTGCTGATGTGGGCAGCATCCATCCTGTTGTGGTGAGACCTCAGGTCTTAACTTACTCCTTTAGACTGCAAGGTCAGAGAACTGGTCTCCAGATCACCTGCCTGAATCGTGACTGTTCATCTGCATCAAACACAAGAAGGGCCCCAGACTGGCTGATGTTCTCTTGGGGAATCACAGCAGTGTTGGGGATTTTGCACTTGACACCAAGAGTTGGAAGTATGTCAGTAAATAAAAAGAGAGCCCTTGATGAGATTCTCTCCTGTTGGAAATAAATGTTACACCACTGAAGCCATGCAGCTTAAACAAGGATGAGTATTGGACCTGTGAGGAAATTTATACCATTGAATTGTCAGTTCTTACCATTAGTTAATAACTTACAAATCCATTAGCTGATTTCATTTAAGCTTTTAAGGAGGTGAGAAGGCTGAAGTGAAACATTGGAACTGAGATAAAGTCGGGGGAATCAAACTAGCTTCTGATAAAAGAAAGTAATTCTGATGTAATCTCAATTTTTTTTTTGTTTTTGCTGTCAGCTAGCTGGTATATATACAGGCCTGCCAGACAGCACACATGAAACTCTGAAATATGCAGGACTGTATTACCTGGCCTGAGATTAGAGGATTTAGGAGGAAGCAAAGGCTCAGAAAGACTGGATGGTGAATATTTGTTGCTGGGAAGGGACCGGGATTTATGAGAGTCAGGGTCACAGCATTCAAGGAAAACCAGCCTTTTGTAATTCTGCTGCTGGCAGAGGCAAACACGAGGTGTGAAGGAGTCTTGAAGAGCTTTTGCAGCCTGGCCTAAGAACTGTCCCCCATCAGGGAGATGCAAGCTGATTTTTCAAAGGCTACACTTGTGCAGCATCAGAAGGGATCATAACACAGGTAGCCCAGGTGGCATACATTTGCTTAATGAGTATATAAGGAAAATCCCAGCCTTCTGAGATCATTTAACAAGCCTGGCATTTCTTAGATTCTGCCTTTCTTGATCCAGTTGTAGTACCCTGTGAAGTCCAGCCCCTTGCTCTTTTTAACTCAGGCCATTTCTTACCACTGAGAAATAAGCACGGATTTTTCCATGTATTTCTCAGATGCATTTGATTTTAGTTCCCTCCAGCACACTCGGCTCCTGCTATCCAAGACTTGTGCAGAGACTGGCTGTTTATCCTGCCTTTGCTGAAAGTCCTTCCCACCTGTCCCTTTGTCCCACTGTTGCTCGCTTTTGCTCAGGTTTACTGCTACAAGCACCATCCCTGAAGCTCTTGCTAGGGAAAACAGGCAGGGGAAGTGAGGTGACCCGCTTGAAAGTGTTGGAGAGGCTTGTGGCAGAAGCCCTACTTCTATGGCCCTGGTGTGGTATGTTACACGTACCCTGCTGGAAAGTGCTCCTCCATTTATAGCACTATCTCTGCTGGCTGGTAACAGCTTTTGATCTGTGGGCAGCGGCCCCTCTGCTTTGCCCCCTCCCATGTGGGCACCCCTGCACTAGAGAAACCATTTTCAACTGGGTGAGAAGGCTTTTGGGTTGGCAAAGAATTTGGGGGGGCAGGCGGTGGGAGGCAGTAGGAAAGAATCCCTGGGCACAGAGAACAGAGCTCTAATCCTGTCGCAGATAACATCATGTCTGCAGGCTAGGCTTGTGTGTGTTTGGGGGAGCTGGAGGGGCAGAGATTGTTAGGCAGTATTTGTTTGTAAAGCCACTTGCTCTGAAGATAATGCTTGCACTAACTTCTATTGAGGGAGCAGTGTGAGTCCCCACAAAGTCCTTTCCCAAAGTGTCTTTGAAGCCAAGAACCCATTGAAAGGAAGAAAGGCCAAGAGAGGGGATTAGTTTGTTCAGCAGCTGTGAATTTCAGTGGGAGGCTGATGAACTCCAAAGTCTTTGTTGAGATGTTTTTTGTAAGGAGCCCTGCTGGAGGGAGAGACCCACACGGGGGCCGCGGCCTTAGACAAGAAGGAATCTGAAGCGGCGGGGAGCTGTAAACGGGCCACAAGGACTTTTCCCAAACACTTTTCGGAAAAGGTGTTGTAAAGAGATCGGAGGGGGATTAGCATGTGAAATGACACTTTCCATTGACTCCACAGAGGGGAGGGGAAAAGGGCTGGCTGGCTGATTTATTAGCATTTTGTTCCCTGCTCTATTCTGCTCCCCCAGCAGCCCCCCTCCCCTCTCTCCCCTCCTCCCGAGCCCTCTAAAGAGGTTTGGATTGGAAAAGGGAGCGGGGGGCTGCCTGTTTGTGTGTCATCTGGGCGAAGGTGACCACCTGGGAAGCTGAATGTAAATATTTCTCCTCTGAGGAATGCGCCTTCATTAAACCGAAATGAATACATGGAAGCATCCAATCCTGCCCACAATGGCAGCAGGGCCTTTACCACTGAGGGCTCCCTGCGCCGGGAGGGGGGACCCGCTGCTGAGGTCAGCACATTTTGCAGCTGCGGTGTCGCCGTTTTCCCCCAGCGGAAGCAGCGTGTGGCGATGGGGCTGGCACGGGCCGTGCCCCACAGGTCCCCTCGCCAGCAGCCCTCACTGCGCCCAGCGGGCACATCCCGGGCTGTGCCACGGCCCTCGCGGGGCAACTGTGTGGGGCAGCAGTGTCAGCAGGGGAGAGACAGGGTAGGAGCGGGGGGAAAAGGGAAACGGCTTCCACGTCTTCTTTTCCTGTGTTTCCAGCTGGCCGTGGAACGGATGGGAGGGAGGAACAGAAGGAAAAGAGAGTAGAAGTTGTTCCTCTGCCTTGCCTTTGTTCTCTGCCTCGCCATAGTCCTCGAGCCAGCCAGTGTTGGAGCTTTCCCTGCTGGGCGAGGGGCTTTTGCCCCCTCTTTGCTCCCCTGCCCAAGGATGCAATTCCACCACGGGGTGACGGAGGAACTGCTGATGGAGATACAACAGAGACCTAGGGCAGGGTCGCTGTATTAATAAAACCTCTGCAGAAGCAGCTGGTGGATTGTGTGTGAAGTGGAAGTGTTTCGGTTTTCCTTGAAAGTGGGCCAAGATTGTTTCTTGCAATTTTTGAAGGACCAAATTCTTGGTTGACATGAATGCTCTTGTTCTGGTGAGACCCCAGCTTGCCCTAGGTCCAAATTCCCACTCTCGATGAAGTATTTGATAATGAAGGAAGGGGCTATTTGATAACAAAGAGACACATACAGACTGAGTGTCTCTAATATCTGAGCTATGAAGTGGGCAATTGGGCTCCTGCCTGCCCCCTCCCATCCCATTTCCTCCTGGCAGCTGCATTACAGTTGGATGCACCCTCAAGAAAGATCGAGAAGAGAGCATGTCCTTTCCCCTCCTGGTAGGACCCAAGGTTGTGCTGCATGAAGTGGACTGATCAGGTCTTCCTGGACTCAACAGATGGGTAAGCAGATGGGTTTTAGTCTCCAGGACTGAAACTACAAACACCCACAGATGCAATGGGATGAAAGAACGCCCAACTACTTAGACACAAGCATTTTGCAAGCACTTGGCTACTGATTTATTGCATTGGCTATTGGTTTACAAATATTGGCTACAAGACAGGTCTAATGGCCAGTAACTTAGCTCTGCTGGCTTCTCATATGGCTAAAGGACGCTTCAAACAACAAAGACATAACATCGCAGCCCCAGGGAAGATTGCTGTGATGGTGCAGTGAGCTTCCCCAGGTGCTGCAGCTGGCAGCTTCTTACCTCCCTATCCCAACCACAGCAAGGGAACAGAGATGCATCAACCAAATCTTCCTGCTGCTTGCTTAGCCTATAGAATATATACAATAAGTAGTAGAGGAAAAACTGTTATGTGTACATCACAGTAACTGTGCAATAAATTAAACTTCAAAGTGCTTCACTTTCCTATTTACACCACCATTAAATAGTAACTGACATTATTTTCTCAGACTACAAGGAAGTATTTAGTTAGTTAGCTGACAGGGTAAGAGTACTTGGCAAGTACACCAGGAGATGGGGAACGGGCTCAGCTGGCAGCTCCTCTGGGAGAGATTTGGGAGGCAAAAGGGACAGGAGAAATAAGTGTGAGGGCATCTTTGTGGCATCAATCAGGGGCTTTGGCAGGAATGCTGGAGTGAAAAGGGAGACCAGACCTGAAGGCTTGGAAGACACAGAGAAGGCATGTAAAAGCTGAGGGATGGGACCCCTTTTTTGAACAGCTGTTTAATGGGCAGGCCAAGCAGTAGCTTCAATCTTGCTGCTGCCATTTCAAATGCAAAGTAAAGCACTGGAGAGGTTACCAAAGCTGTCAAAGGATGGGAAGTGATGCTGTGGGCCTCTTGGATGCTGGCTTTCTGCAAGAAGGAGTTGCATGCCTTTTCTATTTCCTCATAGTGTAGGGCTTAGGCAATAACAACTTTATTTTAGTGCCTTTATTTTTTTAGGGTACTAAAAGCCTCTTCTCATTTAGGGATAACTGCTCTGAGTTGCCCAACTCCGTTGGTGTCATGTCAATTTCCTCGTACTTTCCTAAGTGTTGATCTCACTCAAAAGCCCAGAGTTGGTGCTTGTTTGGGGAACAAACAAACAAACTCAAAAGCATAGGAGCCACCAAGACACCCGCTGTGTTTTCAGAGATAAAACCAGATAGAAACACTGGATAGAGTGACTCTGAGTTGAAGAGACCAAATCTCACCTCATTTTTCAACACTTGACGGTATCCCCAGAAGCTGTCACCCACTGCACTAATGCCCTGTGTGGTCAAGACCTGGGGATTCATACAATGCTCTTTATCCTTGCCCAATCCCCCATGAGGCAGCAGTGGGAATGAGACAAAACTATGCCAAACAGAAATGGTGCCGGGGGCTGATGGGGAGGGCAGGAGAGGAGAGGGGCAGGCAGGACCATGGAAGCAAGTCAGAGCTTTCTCTTGAGCTTGCGGCTGGCCCCGCCACCTCCGCTCCGCTCCCGCTTCTCCTTGCGGACACAGAAGTACTTGGTGACCCGTTTGCGGCACTGCTCACACCGCACGGCGCAGCACCAGTGGAACTTGCAGTTGCAGCTGGACACCATCTCAGCTCGTCTCTCCTCCACTGCCAGCCCACAGTCCCCACACAGCCGCCGGCAACTCCGCTTCTCCCACTTGCTGAGTGCCTTGCCCCTCTTCAGGCACTCCCTGCCCTCTGTGCCCAGTAGCCCCAGTGTCTTGTTCTCCAGACAGTAGTCAGGAGAGTCTTCTAAATGGACCAGTTCCTTCTTGGAGATGGAGCTGAAGGTCTCAGCGATGGCACCCCGGCTGGCAGCGCTGTTCCCTGCCCCCTGCAGCAAGTCTACCTTCAGGGCTTTGTGGTACCTCTCCTTGAGGTAAGTCCCCACCTCTCGAAACTCGGGCAACTGCAGCCAGCAGGTCTGGGTGGTGCAGCTCCCTGACACACCGTGGCACTTGCAAGTCCGCTTCATGGTCCCTTTCACTGCCTACAGAGTGAGCAGAGAGAGGGCATTCAAGAAAAAGCCCAGAGGGTTGTTTCTATATTGCAGTGCATGCAGAAACGTGGCTCCAGGCCTGTGGAGGAGTTTGCCATCAACCCTCCCTGTGCCATAACCCTGAAGCTCATAGATTTGCTTCACAGTACACTCCTCCTTGAATTGGGAGAAAGAGGACTGCAGGAAACCATTATCGCTGTAACCACAAAGCTTTGCTACCTTAGAGCAAACACCACACATCACATTGTACTGCTGCCATCCTCCCAGAAGTTGTTTCTTCTGGACATGTGTTTTTAGCTACAGCAAATTGTAATTCTTCAAGGTGGATGGCCAGAGCCAATCTGGTATGCACTGTCAGGTCTGGAGGGAGAGAAGAACTCACCTTTCTACCCGCCTCATTGTTATGCAGGTTCATAGCAGCTCTGGCATCTTGTCCAGTCTCCAAGGCATCCACAAACTGCTTGGAAATGGCTTCCCCAAAGCCCACGTTATCACTGCAGCCTCCCCACAGCCAGCCTTGCCCCCCTAAGAGAGATGAGATGTTTGCTGTCAGAGAACCAGCCCCTTGCCTGCCTGGCTTTTGGTCTGTGATATCAGAAGTGATGGGAGGGAATGGAGGCTGTGGGGCAAATTCAGTCTTTAACCTCACGATACTCCCAGATTCCCTCCCCTTGAGCTCATAGCATTTCTGCTGAGGCCTGGATAGTATGTGGCTCAGGCAGGCAGGCAGGGAAGGGCTATGTCCTGTGCAACAAATGCAGGGGTCTCCAGGCTTTCTATAGAGCAGGATTCAGAAGCTGTCAATTATCATGCAGCCATACAGATAAACCCTTGGGTCTTTAATCACCTTCTCTCAAACCCTGACTTGAGCTCCTTCAGTCTGACTCGCAGGGACAGCACCTTGCTAACTTGGATTAGCAAACTGGTGGAGGCATCCTGGTCAGAGGGAACAGATTCCCCTCTGTCTGAAACAGCCTAAGCCTGGCGTACATGTATTGAGAAGGCACTCTTTTTGGCACACCCAGAGTTCTGGGATGATATTTGGCATCTTAGAAGGGTCTGATTTTCCAGTTATCATAAAGAAACAAAGAAGTCAGTACAGAACCGTAAAGCTGCACAAAAATATGTGGACGGTACTTTTCCTAACTGTGTGGGAGCTTGATAACTTAGCTCAGCTGACTGGAAAAGCATCACACAGTTTGCTTCTTTTACTCCTAGAGAAAAATGCCAAGTTATTTATGAAGATTTGAAATCTGGAACATTCTGACCCTAACATGCCTTAGCGGTACATCTTGGGAGTTGTGGTTTAATGGCCTTGTGCCTCTCTTGAAAGGCCTGGCCATTGCCTGGATTTCCCCAGGGCATCCCCTCTCCCAGGGAAAGTCAGGAGTGTCTCGTGGGAGGCCGGGTAATTGCAGTGGATGATGAAGTCCAAATCAAGAGCTGGGACTGAAGGGAGAATGGAAACCTTTCACCAAATTGGATTCAGTGCAACGGCTGAATTGAATCACACTGTTTTGGTCAAGCCAAAAAGTTTCCTATGCCTTACAAGCTTTTAATTCACGATGGAAAATTTTCAGGAAAAACAGATATGTTTGGGGGAAAGAAAATGTAGCATGGCTAACTTGGTTTTCCAGAGAAGATAAAATTTGGTGTGTCATTGCCCAAAAGTCTTTCTCTGCTAGAGTTAGGCATTCCCAAACCTTGGACACCTAAGCAGCAGTGGCTGTTTTCAAAACTATTAGCCAGTAAAGTGAATTACTAAATATTGGACACTCCAGAGGAGTTGTCATAAACTAACACATACTGACTGACTGGCTGGGCAGGGCATGGCTTTTAAAAGATTTTGATAATTTGAAATTTGTCCTCTTTTCATTCAAAACAAAAAACCCAAATGTCAGTGTTTTCTGTGAAAGCTGAGTGGAGAGCTAGAGCGGTGCAGCCCAGGGTTCCACACTCAGGGGTGCTTTGTGGCCGAGGACCTGGGTCCCACTGTGACATGAACAGTGTGAAGGCTGTGTGCTGCCACAGTGGTTCTCCTGGTTGTGCTCCTGCGTGCCTACCACGCTGAGAAACACTGTAGAGATTTATGAGTGCCACCCTGCTTTCCCTCCTGGTCATTCTGCTCTGGGGCCACCCTGGTCCTGCAGAGTCTGGGAGCCTCGAGGTCCCTGATCAGCACTGCTCTAACAACACCTGCCACGTAGAAGCATGGCATCAGATCCGTTCCTCTGCCCATATGATACTGTCATTGTCTCCAGCAGCTTGAATAGAGTTCTTGATTTGAACCAGGGAAACTGCAACCCTTTCTACTTTCCTGGTCATTTAGAAAGTAATGGAAAGCATCAAGGGCTTGGCCTCAGCTGGTGTAAATTGGAGGTGCCTCAGTTAGCTTCCACAGAGGTACTTTGGTTTGCTTACTTCCAAAGTCCTCAGAGTTACTTTGGTTTGAACCAGGCAAAGCTCTGCTCTGGGCATTATTCCCAGGTGAGGGGACCAGGAAGGGGAGGTGTTTCTGCATGCCTCAGCAGTGGAGAGAAGAGCTTCTCCTGCTGCCTGGTAGGTGAGTGAGGGGCAGCAGCTCGTCTCTCCTTACCCAGTTGTCCATTGCGGGAGTCATCACAGCCACAGTTGTCAAAATCCCCGAGGCTGCAGTTCCGGGTCAGTGTGTACATGACGCCTGCAGAGCTGATGGCATGGACAAAGGCAGTTTCTCTGTTCGCTGTCAAGTGGGAGCACAAAGAGAGCAGATGTGCTAAGGATTTCACAGCAAGACCACTGTTAGAAATTACTCCTGCCATGCAGGAGTCTGTGTAGGAAGAGATCCGCTTGGGGAGGGCTTTGTGGGGTGGAGAGAAGGCCCTACATGTCAGATTAGCTTAGTTTGGGCTTGAACTGCATGAAGACAGAAGCTCTCAAATTTGATCCAGGCTGATTCATGCCATTTCAAAGGGTGTGGATGAGATAGCACGTGGCTGTCCTTTGGGAGCTCAGCAATGGCAATATAGCACAGATGGCCAAATGTCCCCCAGTTTTCACCAATACTAGAGGGAATGGGCCCTCTCCAAGGGTCAAAGAGCTCCTTCCCCACAGCCTTCTCAAGCCTTACCTTCTGCTGGAAGGGCTCTGAGCAGTGACCATACCTACCCACCAGGATCAGTGTGGAGATCATCAGCTGATTTCGCCGAGCCTTTGGCTTTCATTTAATACCAGCAAGGTGTGGATCTGAGCAAATAGCCTTGACAAGAATGATTCAGGGACCTGTTCTGGGTCCCAGAGTGGGACTTGACCTGCAATTCTCTCCTCAAGGCCCCACTTTGAAATATCTGTCCACCTCTGCCTGGGGCCCTGGTCCCTTATCTGCTGCCAGTCTCTCCAGAGGCCTGAGGCTCCCTTCCACACCCAGGTCTTGCCTCTACGGGGCAGGTATGAGCTCAGCCTAGCATCATATGTAGGTCTGGAGGGCCAGATATGCACTGAAATATTTTCTGGGACCTGCAAACAGGTAAGGAAACAGGACCTGCAAACAGGTAAGGAAACAGGACCTGCAAACAGTGACAATGACCGCAGCCCCATGCCCTGCAGTGGCCCAGGACAAGGATGCTGGAATTCTGCCCAGGGGGATTCTGATATCTGGAAGCTGTGAGAAGACTTTTCTCTTGTCTCTTGGCCAGAGCACAACCACTGATGAACTCTTTCCTACTCTCTTTAGCCATACCCCTCTGCTTGGCACACCACTAGCCTGTGCTAGTTCTCAGCCTCCACGGGATACCCTGGGACACCATCTAGGCATGGCGTGTCCAGCAGCCCATGTGGAGCTCATGACGGTGCATCCTTGTGGGAAGGCATCCTTGTGCGAGTTGTCCTGCTCAAGCTGGGGTTTGGCAGGTCCGGAGGTGATGCTGACATTGAAAGGCTGCCTTGTGTTGAGGCTAGATCCCACTGTGTGTGGGAGCTGATGGGTGAAGGGGTCTTCTGGAAAGATCCCTCTGAGGGATTCCTGGGAGAGACATGTGCCAGGTGGGGATGGGAAAGTAAAGGAGGCACTTGGGAAGAGAGGAGGGGGCCATGGGCTCTAACCTGTAGTAAGGGGGTCCCAGTAGTGGTATCCAATGCTTTCCTTACCGCTGCGCAGCCCACCGTGGCTGGAGAGCTGCAGTGCCCTCTCAGGGCAGTTCCAGCGGTCCCAGGCAAACTGGAACTTGCACTCCTCGATGCCACTCTGCGCCCCGGCCGCCACGCTGCTGGAGTAGATGAGGTAGGCCTGGGAGCAGAGCACTGGGTCAGTACAGGGATGATGTGTATTTTCAACTGAAAATAACCTGCATGTCATCTTACAGAGACAAGACACACAGAGCTGAGGAGGTCTCCCAGGCTTGGCTTCCCTGGGAAGTGAAGTTCACCAGCAGCATCAGCAAAAGTATTTCCTGCTGTGCTGGGTTGGAGCCTGAGCCTCCCAGGGGAAGAAGGCTGAGCTCCTGGCTGTTAGCCGCACTGGGAGTTGTGCCAGCTAGCCTCTGCCATGGGGAAACCCTTATCTCTCCAGCATGAGAGGAGGCAGAGCCTTCTGCTCAGAGATTAGGAAACTCCAGGCCAGCAGGTACCTCAGCCTACCTCCTTCTTCACCACAGCCCCAGGGAGACAGCATTGCTTTGGGGCAAGGTTGCTCCACCAGTGCATTGAGAACTGCAGAAAGCACTAGATGGGCCTGGAGGTGTTCCTGGGAATTGCCAGAACAAAAACTGGGTGAATTTTACAACTGGTCCTGTTTAGGAAAAAAAGCCTCTGAAAGAGGAGAGCAAGGATGTGGGGGGTCAAAAATACTGAATAAAGTCCTGGCAATTCTAATTGTACTCTTTGAGGAAGTATGTTTTACAGGGCCTACAGAAAGTACTTTCCAGCTGGATCAATGCAGGTTCCAATGCCAGCCTGATCATCAGGAAGAAATAGATGACAGCCGAGAGCTTCAGCTGGCATCAATAGACAAATCTCCAGAATCTGGCCCCAACTAGCTTAAAAGAACCCCAGGTCAGTATTGCTTAGGCCTGATGTAGCTCAAGGAGTTGTAGCAGGTCCTTCTGGTCCCTCTCTGCCTTGTTGCTGGAAACCTGGGTGTGAGGGGAGCTCTGGCCAAGGCTGGGTGGAGAGGAGGGGTAAGGAGGAGCCCCTGTCTCTCTCTCTCCCTCCCTGGGTTTAGTGGAATCAGGGACAGAGATCAAAGGGATTTCTCTTACCTTGGGGCCCGTCATCAGGAAATTATTCACTGACCTGGAAGACAGAGACAGTGTCAGCAGGGAGGGGGTGATGGTGGAGGGGCCTGGGGAATGCCAGGCATCCCAGAGCCCTTCTCTCACTCCCCTGAAGTCTGCCTGTCTCCTGGCTGCAGGCACCTTTGGTCTTTCCTTCATCTCCCCTTGCTGCTCCCGGAGAGACAGGATGGTGCCATCTCCTTCCCCCCACCCTGCTCCCCTCAACCAGGCTGTACTGGGCTGCAACCCCCTCACTGCTCCCTCCTTTTGCTTTCCTCTGCTCAGCTGCCCTTTGTAGCAATCCCCCCATTATTTTAATATTATTCTCTTCCTCTAGCCTTGCTTTTTACCTCACCAAACTGTTGCTCAACTTAACTCAGAGTAGCATTTCCCCCAGCCCCAGGAGCTGGACCGTGTGCCAGCGCCATTCTCTCTGTTGGACCATGCTGAGGGAAGGAGGAGGTCACACTGCTGCTCCTTTGCAGTGTGTCCCAGCTGCATCCCTCCATATCACAGTCCCTTGTTTCCTGCAGTGCCAGCTCTGGCTGCCCACACTCTCCTCTTGGTCAAGTTATAGTGATGGCTGAACACAAGTACACATGTCCTCCCTATCCTGTTGGACACTGCAGGGAGCCCTGGGGGTTTGGGATGGAGGGGGGCCTAGCCAAAATTAAACTTTCTAGTGTTCCCACTGAAGGTGTGGAGGGATCACCTCCAAGGGTCTGGAAGTGTGTCTGATCTCCAACACTGTCCCCAGGAACTTGCTGAACCAATGCTGTCCAGTCTGAGTCTTTCTTCAGCAGGAAAGACTTTCAGTGCAAATGGTCAGTCAGCATTAGAACTCCATATGGTGCAGTGACCACCATATGGAATCTGGAGGATGTGTGGGTGAATCATGCTTAGCTATGTCATGGCAGAAAGGACTGACACTTTGAAAAGGCTCAAGAGCCAACTCCAAATATCCCTAGTCAGAAAGGAAGTGAGAAAAGAGAAATCTCTCCTACAAACACCTAATTCCAGCCTCTCTAGCTTTGCAAAATAACTCTCATCACTGTCTCTGGAGCACCTCCCCTGCTGGCACCCCAGAGAAATGTGTGAGTGCTCTTGTCCCCTGGGGAGCACACTGAGGCCAGAGAGGTGTCATGAGTGGATTGAGAGCTTGCAGTGAGTGAGTGATCAGGGGAAATGATAGAGCATGTACTGATAGAAACTGGGCCACTCTGCTTCTCCTTGAGATGATGTTTTGCTTCAAATGAGCCACAGGTATCTCCCTGGTAAGGGAGAGAAAGGTACCTTCTTTTTATGCTAAAAGTGCCGCAGACAGAGTGTGGAAGCATCCACAGGCAGAAGCAGGCACTGCTGTCCCAAGCTGTGGGACTAAGTGCAGCCCTGCCATAGACACAGAGGCAGACTGGGAGGCAGGACTGGTGCCCAGACATCAGACGTGACAGATCGAAAGAGGATGTTGCCCTGCCCCTGGAAAACTGCTCCTGGAGTTTGTGAACCTGTTTTACCTCCACTAGAACTGCCCTCACGGAGATCCTCTCCAAGGTACACGACAAAAAGGAGGTCTCATTACTTTATTTTGGTCAAAATCACAAGAAATTTGATCCTTGCTGTTACAGTTTAGAAAGAGTTGAGAGAATGAGTTTGCAACACTTCACTCTGGCAAGCCTAACTTTTTTTTTTTTTTTTATTTAGTTGGATGGTTGGTTTTGGTTTTTTGTCAGGGTTTTTGGTGAAAATGTGTCCGTATTGATGAAAGTTTGCTTTGGGAAAGATTCAAAATGCGAGTGGGCTGTGCAAGAGCAGGAGATCCTTTCCCTTTGTTCCAGGCTTGGGAATCAGACCCGGCCGTGCTCCAGCTCATGGGTACTTTAGCACGAAGTCGATGGTTGTTTTGCAGAGGAATTTTCCTTTGGAAGCTGCTTCTGCATTGTACAGCTAATTAAATATTTCCTGGGACTTGGAGAGGCGGCATCTGTAGCTGAGTGATTAGAGCATCGGGTGACCTGAATCACACAGGGCCATGAACCTGGGGCTAATCAGACTGTGTAAGCTCCATGGGTCCCCATCCTAATGCAACTGGGTAGCAGCATGAACAAGTCATTTTTCCATCTGGTTTCCCTCCTGTCCTTTGCCTTGACCTTAAGTGCTTTGCTATGGGGACCACACTCAGGATGGTGTCAGTGTGAATCTGAGCCCCTGGTAGCAGCTGTGAAAAAACCTCTGGTAAAGTGCCCCTTTGTAGGCAAGAACTAGAAAATTGCAAGTCCTCTCTTATCTTGCTTTTGTGGCCAAAACAAGAGATACATCCCATCGGCATTGCTTCCTATGTGTGTAGGAAAACCCAAATTCACAGTGTACAAGACGGATTTGCTTCAAACCCTTACTGGCATCACCTTGGATTAGGAACATCTGAGCAGTTGCAAGGGTGGCTTTAGGGGGAGGATAGTAATCCACAAATTCAGGGTTTACAGCAAACCAGCCTGTTAGCAGGAGCAAATTGACATAACTGCATTGAAGCAGAGGATCTGTTCCTCCCAGGATAAATCTCAAGTTCACAAAAAGGCCAAGTTCAGGATACGCCAATTCACCATCTGCAACTGAACAAATGATACAGTAGCAATTTCCCAGCAGGATATTCTAAACATTTTTAAGCAGTCGTAGAGACAGAAGGCATTTTCCCTGAGCTCTTGGATCAACAGGCAGGCATGCTGCTGGGCGGGTTTGTAGGGCTTAGACAAGTAAAGGATTCATTTGGACTTGGTGCATTTGACACCCTAATATTTAACTCTTGCTGCTGCAAGTGGATTCAGGAGAAGGGAGCTGGGACTGTCGTGTGGCTGGAGGCTAGCTGAAATTTTTCTTATTTATTGCTGAGAGGGAAGGAAAGATAATAATGGAGACAGAATCTCTGTGTTTTATTTTTGCTCCTATGATTTAGCTAAGAAAAATATGTCTCCGTTCTGTATAGTCTCCAGTGAGGGCAGAGAGCAATTAAGCCACAAGTTTCACAGATGTAGTGCAATATTGACCATGCCACTAGAATCATCTCTGTGCTGCAAACAGGGATCACTACAAAATGAATCTCTCTTCATTTGTTTTCTGTGTAGTGTGATTTTTTTTAAAAAAATGTTTATTTATTTCTACTAAATTTTCATAGCATTGTAAAGGAAAGCACAATGTAATTCTTAATAATTAGCTAGCTACATCTACAGTGGATGTTAACCAGCCGAATTCCCAAGACTTTGGTGACTTTTTAAAATCACACACACAAAAACAAATACTTGAAGTCATTCCTCTTCTCTGAGAAAGCTCACAAGGTTTCTAGCTACGTAAACCCCTTTCCCTCCACCTTCAAACTCCAGGACAGTATTACACAGACTCAAACCTCAGCAGGTAGAGAGAGGAGACCCACCAAGTTCCTCATCCCCCTCCCCAGCCTGTGCAGGGCTCTGGCCAGAGTACACTGCTTCACTCACTGCAACTCTGTGTCTCCAGGTAAAAAGCAAATCTAGGGCAAGAGATTTTCATTGTATCCGATATTAGGAAATTATCTCAAAGCTAATTAGTATCTATAGCAGGAGTTCTCTATCACAGGTTATTGATTCTGAAAGCAAAGAATCCTGACAAGCAGCTGTCCCACTATATTTTACATATATCAAATACTAACAAGCCTCTGATAATTCCATCTCAGTTATGACTCTAACCAATGACAGCACCCCTCTCCTCAGTTTAATATGCCCTAAGAGCCTTATCTAATCTCCCATTAAAATATTTGTTTGATATCTTATCACCCACTCAGGCTACTGTGCTGCTGGTTCAGCTCTTTAGAAAATTATAAAGCTGTATTTAGATCTTTACTGTCATTATTGTAAATACAGAAAATGGATAGAATTTCACTTTGGATCTGAGTTTCATTCTCAAATATGAACTCTCCAAGGTTATTAGAAAACATGGGAGGCTGGAAACTAAAGGCAGACCCACAGCTGAAGTGTATAAAAAAGCAGTTTAGAAACAAATTGCTGCATTAGATTTTGTTACATTATTCCCACAGGATAGGAGACTGGGCAGAAACTCAATAACATTTGGAGCGTTACTTTTTTTTCTTCATTTCTCTTTATTTTGTTATCTTTATTTCGGAGTTTTTAGTTCCTCAATGCAACCCTGACCTGTTGATCATCTACAAATACAGTGGTTGGATGGTCAATTAAATGGTAGAATGTAATCCATGCTCAGAGAAGGGAAGTGGCCATATATATATATAAAAAATAATTTCTGTTGTTCTATATTGCCCCCCCACCTGCTCCCAATTCTTGTCATTAAATCACAGGAGAAAATTAACTTGTGTTTTAAGCTGTTGGATCAGATAAAGAAAACCAGCACAAATTTCAAGCAGAATTATTTTATGATTCCCACAAACTTTGCTTTTTTTTCTCCTCAAGAGTTAAGGGATAGTGTCTGTAAAATGATAATTTCAAATAAAGGTTGTAATTTCTCTTTCTCTCATGAACTCATGACCTGTGAGCAATATGTGGAGAGAAGTAGGGTTATCTTGATTTATAAACTTTTCTCTTAGATAAAAACTTCTGAAAAGCAGACACAGAATTTAAACATCGAACTTTGGATTGAAAATGCTTCAGATTTCCGAATTTAAGTCTACTTTGTGCACTGAAATTTCTTTCCTTTGCAGCTGTTTCTTCAAAATGTTGATTTTTTTTTTCTTTAATGTATTTTAAACCTGTTTTTATTGAGGAAAGCAAGACACATACATAGGAAGGGCAGAAAAATAACAGTAAAATCAACATGAGCTCTTGCCTAGCCTTTCTGCAGAACACATATATTCCCCTTGTTCCAGAAGGGAGATTTATCTTCAGTTTGCTGCTTTATAGTATTTAGGCATATACAAATTGTTGCACATTCTTTTAATGAAGGAAGTAGAAAATCTCTGAAAGAACATAAAATTCACTCTCAGATAGCAGAAATGAGTTCCCATTTATTCCGTAATTTCTCCTTCTATAATTTTGACTTGT